ACAAAGTGCAGTACATCAGATTTTTGTCTTTATCGTAGTGGATCCAGTTATAGTCATACGTCCAGGATTTCTTGAAGCAGCGGCTGCCTTGGGAATGAACCCTGCGGAATCTGGGCTGCTCTGAACCCAAAATGGCAGCACTGTTTGGACGCTGTTTTGGATCCCAAATTATGGTGGTAACTGGTGTCCAGGTGGCTTGACCAGTGTGGGTGCTGAGGGGGACCGTCATCTTTAAAAATTGATAAACAGATTGCATTATCTTTTTTGTTGCTTGGAGGATATGTCATATTATGTTGTTTTCTATCATATGAACTTTATGAATGACTGAATGTACAGAGTCACAAAATAGATATACCCCTAGATTACATTTTCAAAAAACTTGTTTATTTCATTTTTGTGTCTCAATCACAAAATATGTTTACCTTGGTAACAGTAACTGATATTATACAGTGCATCATATAACCTAAGTAAGATAGGAATGATCACCTTAACAAATTATAAAATGGTTTTAGCACAGTTTTTTTTATAAAGGTTCCTTAATTGTGTGTTGTTACAGTGATAACTTCAGTAAACATTGATTAGAGGGAGTAACATCAGTGATAGAATCATTATGAGTCTCATTAACACAATATAAAGAGAACTTGACAAAGCCATCAACTGTCTCAAATCACATGCTACTATGGATATTATTAAAGTTGAGTCTTTCCATAAGATCATATCCTAACTTGAAAAAAAAAAGTGATTTATTAATGTAAGGCAGCTATATATCAATAACCTAATGCCAACTAAAATGTTAAATAGGAAATATTTAAACCTGATGGTAGATTACATACCCAACAAAAATTATTTGAAATTCTTCTCTGCCTCTGTTAAATATTTACGTAACTGACTGTCACACCCACCACAGCTAGCACAACTTTTAATATATTTATTCAACTATCACATTTTACTTATTTCTAAATATGACCCATTTGATACATTAAGTTTCTGAACTTAAAAAACTGTCACATATAATACAATTAAGTATTTGTACAATTTTATTATGTGACTTACTCTGCTATGCCATATCTGCATAAAAATTATATGCATATCCCTAAAGAGAGTGTATTGCTCTTGTTACGCTAAAAGGGTGCACAACTAACACACTTGCACAGCAGCACAATGTGTTACGTCAAGTGCACTGAGACTCTTGGCTGACAGCTTCTTTGTGATCTGATATCAGTTCATGCTTACTGGCATTGTCCTTCTTAATAGTTGTGCAGCCTTTTGTAAAGGCATTAATCTTGTTATGTTTCTGACACAAGGTACAAAACATCATTTCCCTTTGGGAATCGTATTGAATCCAGCCGAATTTAGCTCGCCATGACTCCTTGAACTCCCTCTTTTTGCTTTTTTTCAAATCTGAGTCCAGGTCATTTGGGGAAACAGGAATGAACGGGACATTTGAACTGCAGGTTGAAGCGATCTTCCACTGTTTCTCACCATCTTCATCTGGATCATGATGAAAAGTAGGAGTCTCTGCATTATATCTACTGTAGGGTGCAGCACGTGTGCTGTTATCAGAGCTGGTTTCAGGAGTCATCTTTGAAAGTGGTAAGACAAGTTTTAGACTAATTGTACAGGGGACAGATAAAGATAGATAAAGTTTGAAAATTGTGCTTGCAGTATGCATGATTTTTGTAAAAGTTTAGATTTCAGTCTAAAGCAATGATAAAGGTCTCAAAAGTTTATATTCCACACAATACCTCATCGATTAGAGTTTTAAATCCTTTACATTTTTAAAGTACAAAGCATCATTTGCCAATTTAACATTTCCATCATAATAAACAACTGTCACACCTAACAAACTGTCTTGTAAAATTTTTGCATATCATGTAATTTGAATAAACCTGATAATTGCTAGCAAACTTAGTAAAGTCTGTAGCACAGATCATAAAATTCCAGTTGGTCACACCCGACTTTCCCTAACACAATCCAAGTCTCACCTAACACAATATATCAGATGTTTTCTGACATCTCAGCACCAGCAGCCTCCCTGTGATCAGTAATACAATCATGCATGAATAAATCATACTTCCTAAAAATGCTCGTTCCCCGAGTAAATTTGTTGGACTTGTTATGTTTCTGACACAGACTACAAAATAGTAAGTTCCTCTCCCTATCAAAACGGAGCCAACTGTACTCATAGGTCCAGGCTTGCTTGAAATAACGGTTTCCTTTGGTTGTACCAGCTGGTAATCTGATTCCACCTGCAACCTGCCTTGTCCACTTTATACCTTCATCTGTGGCACAACCTACAGTTTTCTGCAAATTCATAAATAAGCAACCCAAGCTGTTGGTAAAACTAAAGAAGTAAAATATGAAGCGTATTTTTTCTGCAAAAATAAGAATTCAAGCTTCTATGTAAGCTTTTTTGACATTCCAATTGCAACACTGTGCCCAATTTGACTTGAATATATCTGACTCTTTCTCACTTAAAAAACAGAAATGTAAAACTGCTATTGCATGCCATGGTTATCTGCCACTGTATTATTCAACACTTGGACACGCATTAAAAGCTTCAACCGTCACACCTAACACAATCCATTAGTTTAATACTGACATTCAAATAAAACTGCTTTTCAAACTTGACTTGTATTTTTCAGTGTCATATATCATTCCAGTAAATTTGAGGCTAATCAGTCCAACAGTTTTCAATATATTGAAAAGTGCAGGGCAAAAACAGCAATGGAGGTAGTTCATTGCTGTATGCACAGACACACTGTGTCTACACTTAAAAACCTCCCACATTGTCTTTTCACTAAGCATGGAATTGCATTCTGTCCGTAGTAATTTTTACCACTTCCATGAAACCAATCATCTGAAAAACATTCAGTAAGTCAGTCATTCATAAGTCTTCTCAGCCCAACAACACTTATATTTTCACTAGTAGAATAACAAAGCCCTTCTCAAAACCATGGGGTATGCTTAGGTAAAATCTCATTTGGTGGGGTTGGAGGTCAGCTACATGAAGGGGAAAAAAACCCTAGAAACTCCCACGCATTCCCTACCCAAGCAACTGAATAGTTAAGGAACTTAAACTACTTCTTGTGGCTGTACACATTTTAACTTTTAATAAAATATAATTATTAATAAAACAATTGTACTGATGCAAAAATTAAAAGAAAGTCCAAGTCTCTAAGTCTAAGCAAAATAAAGGAAATCCTTTTTCTTAAAATGTCTGACAAAACAGTGAATGCATTGTGCAATACATAACTGTCAGGCAGCTTTTGCTCAGTAAGTTGTTTCTCAAGTCCCACTAACATCTAAATGACCAAAACAGAAAAAGAAATTGAATCATAATAGCTTTAAAGTTTATGATAATTAAGGTCTTATGCTTCAGGGGACATGTGAGATGTGACAATCAAGACCTTGTCATAAATGAAATGTGATATATGTGATAGTAAAAACCTCACAGCACGGTTATATTGTCACAGGTGTGATTATAAAGATCTTGCATCAAAGTTGAATTGTGGCAAGTGTGGCCAACACCTGGTGCATTTTGTCAGCAAATCATGGTTTTAATTGTTTCTTTTTTATTATCTACAATATTATCTACTCTAAAAAAATACAAAGTCACATGGCTTAAAGTATATAAAACTGAAATGAATATTAAGACTCTACAAACTGACTTCATCTCTATGGCCATTTCTGTAATACAGCAACATTAGATAAAGACAGTAGATAAAGAATAATTCAATTTAAATGTTCAACAACATGGCAAAAATAATCGCTCACATTAATATATGCTTTAATGCTTTAAAATTGATATAAATATATCCAATAACAAGTAAGTTATCTGTCACTAAAAATACTCATTTGCCATTCTGTTCAAATAAACATGTTTTCAGATCTGAAGAGTCACATACTCATAAGCATATTATTCATTGTAAAACATGAGTCCCACCACAGAAAGACAATATATACTGTATAAAAACTACTCAGCTGTATTTTTTTTTTAATTTCTCTGGTGTTAAGTGTTTTGTAGTAATAATGCCTAAGAATTGGGGGGGGGGGGGTAAGAGTGAGATGTCAAAGGTTTATTTGGACAGATTGTTCGTTCAAGACCACTTGTCATATTGCTGACCTAAAGACACACCCTCCATCTGTAACTTTTTCTTCAACCGCTGACGTTTGTGTCTTAGTCTGTCCATTTTTTTATGATGTTCATATTTCTGAGGATCAGCTTTAATCTTTTGTCTATACAATTTTCTTCTCAAAGCACCAGAAGACATGTGCGGTTTTTTCCTTGACGGCACCGGGACAGTATTGCTGCCAGAAATCCCAACTTCTGCATTCTGTCCTGACGCTGCATTTTCCCATGAGGTTCCTAGTCCAACATTGTGACCTGATGTCACAGATGCTACCGTATTCATCCTGGGTGCCCCAATTCCTGCAGCCTAGAAAAGACAGGGCATGGCTTAACTGAGGACCAAGGTCTGGAACACTGGAATGGCCTGTAACTGAGACCATTCTTAATCAATCACACCCAACACAATGTCCCTCTCAATGAAGAATATGTTACATCTTACAGAATGTCACTCTTTCCAATAACATACTTGGTTTGAAGTCACACCTAACACAACACAGAAATCTTATTCTAATCAGCAATAAAACACAGCTATATGTTATCCCCTCAAACAAATCTGCCATGCATAGAATATAACATCTGTCCATGTGAAAAATAAAAAAGAAAATGCACACATTCAAGTGGTGTTTAATGTTTAACTGATGATTAGATGAACATTTTATAATGCAGAATAACACAAATAGACTAACCATCTTAAGACCTGGATTCTAGACAGTGTTCTCTGAAAGAAGTTTGCGTTTCATTCGCTGTCGCCTATGGCGTAGGCGGTCTAGTTTCTTATGGCGCTCATATCTAACAGGGTCTAATTTGACCAGTTGTCTATACTTTTGCATGTATGTGTTTCTTGCTAGTCCAGCAATAACTGCACTACCCTGGCCAGGTCTATCCTACAAAACAACACCACAATGTCACAATGTGTTAGGTGTGATGGTGTACTTAAATCTGCAAAGATATCATATGTGATAGTTAGTTAAGAAGGGAGGTGTGTGTGTATGTGTCGGTGTGTGTTTGAAGAGAGAGAGAGAGAGAGAGAGAGAGAGAGAGAGAGAGAGAGAAAAAGAGAGAATGTATTTGATCAAACACATCATTTCATTATCTATACACATTAACTTTACCACTGTCACATCCAACAAACACTTACTATCCATATACAAGCATGAATCAAATTATAACCTTAGGTTCTATGTATATTACTGACCACAGGAGGCTCCAAATGCATTTTCTGATACCATATTATGATTTATTGTCATTGTAGGCTATAGTAGGTGTTTTGCAGGGTGGGACTACGAGTATGATGTGTGTTCAGGTGTGACATTCTGCTAGATGAGACAGTGTATTTGGTAAGATGTGTTAAACGTTACAAGGTGTTACATAAGACATGGAAAATATCACTTGTTGCCTTAAACACACATCTTTTGTTAGTAGTCTTTTCTTTTTATTTGTTTGGTTTCTGTCTGCTGTCTTTTGTTCTCCACAGTTTTTGCCTTACACACTCTCTCTGTTTCTATCTTTATTCTTCCTTCTGTCTGGACTTAGCTTGTCAACACCCTTTTAAATATCTTTAGTTATATTTCTGTTGTTTTAGTTTTCAGAAACTCATCAGATGAAAACCAACTGCTGCAGGCAATTTGTGACCACCAACACTCGAGATATTTGGCGTACATAATACAGCACCTGAATTGAATTGAACACACTGCCACCCTGACATTATTATTAATTCACATTTTCACATTTGTACTTTAGTCTATGCAACATAACTTCACTAAGGCCCAATTCCCATAGATTTTAGATCAATCTATCTCTGTGGGGAGCTTCACTAGATTACTGTCAGCTTAGTCGGCTTAAGCGTCTGTTCCGCCTATACTAAAAGCTGTAAGGGGGTTGTTACTGCAAAACAAACGCTGTTTTGTAGATATTTTTAACTATGATGCGCGCTCGGCTCACTGCAATTTAGCGTGAACCCCCAGGGAGTTAGGTCGATCTAAATCTAAATCTCTGGAACGATCTAAATCTCTGGGAATGCACCCTAAGTCTATGCAACATGACTTCACTAATTATACTCAATCAATGACCCAATCAGATGTGCTTATCCTTATATAACATTACAAAGCCTAACCTAACCCAAACAGATCAACAGCAGCCTAAGTTTATCATTCCAGTGTGATCAGGATACAAAAACAAATATACCATGTACCACAGATTCAAACTATAAAATGATCTGTCTTTATTTCTATTTCATTATTTAGCAACATTTCTTTCGACTCATTCTTTCTCTATTATACTCTGAGCAACTTGACTTTTTTCTTGTCATAGGTTTCTCTCACTGTACATTCTTCGTCAATTTCTTTTTTACTAAAGTGGCACATCTTAAAATGAAAATCTGAAACTGCACCTTTTCCAGGCTGTCCATGTTCAAAAAAGAGATCCATTGCCACCTGCCACAGATTCAAACTATAAAATGACACAATTTCTTCTCCACTGTCACCACAGTATTGGATATCAATGTCGCCTCTGATATACAAATTCACTCAGGCCAAAAGTGTTGTGCTATGCATCGTTTCATCACTGACCATTTTCATTTTTAAAATGAAACTTCCAAATAAATTCATTAGCTTCCTTTTTATTCTAAAAACACAGGAAACTACAAACAAGATTAAAAAATCAAGATACACCATGCTTTGATACACATGTGAAATATCTTTTTCTTCAGTAAGTGATAATATTGATTCTATTTTTCTTAAAAAATCCATTTTTCAACTGCAAGAGTTGCATAAACATGTAGTACATAAAATATGTCACGTATCTGTCTCTATCTTTATTTCAATTTCATTATTTAGCAACATTTGTCTCTCTTTAAGCCTTTTTCTTCTCTGGTACTGTCGCTTGCGAGCCTTTATTCTATGTTCCTCAATCTCTTCCTGTGTCCTGTTCTTTCTAATCATTTTCTTCCTTAGGCAGTCAGCCTTTTTGTATTCCTCATACTTTTCCTTATCTTCTCGCAACTTTGCTCTGTACCTGAATGAAACATCAGGAGCACTATAACATGAAATGTTTGATGTGAATTCATTCAACTGAAATACACATCTAACCAAATTCTACCACACATTCAGCAAAAAACAAACATCATATAAGTAGTATTTCAATACTGATTGGTGATTCAATATTTTGAAATCATTCAACGTTACATACTTTCTCATTCTTTCTTTATTTGTAAGTCGGCACCTGCCTGGGACCTATATAAAAGAATTACATTTCATATTACTATGTGTACTGTATCAACGAAAGGCTTTCTTTTAATCCAAGTTTATCTATTAGCATAATAATCTACATTATTTCCTAAAGCCTGAAATCTTCAAAGGATTCTTGGATTCTTGACATAAAATAAATTTAACTAAAAAATCGACTATTTTATGTAAACTGATAAGGGATAAACTTTCCATTGCAGTTTTGATGACTTGGCAAATCTCAAACATTTCTGACAATACAATTACTGGACAGGGTTACAAATGCAACCTTCTGAAAACTGACACACCTAACACACTGTAATTTTTTAAAAACATTTACTAACAAGACATAACGTACCTCTTTTTGTGTACCCTGCTAATTGGCATTCTACATCATGAAAAGTCAACACAAATCAAAGACTTGATCTTTACCCAAAGTTCTTTTTTGTCCAAAAAAGGAGAACCCTCCAAAATTTTTAAAATCTGTTCCCATGTCATTTAGCAATATAGGCATATATTGGATGCTCTGATAAGTGACCTATTCAAACAACTAATTTGCCAGCATGACAGACCATAGATGCTATTTACCATGCTTGAGGTATATAACACAATGCCCTTTTTAACAAACATATGTTAACAAATTTTTAGTTTTTAAACATGTTGAAACTTTTATTAACAATAAAAACCAACAATGCCAATCCTTGTCACAATGCTAAACCACCCAGAAAGATGACTAATTACATATATATATATATATATATATATACTCAATGATTGAGGTAAACACAACATCACTTAGCACTAGACAAGATGTCGCCTACTGCATGTTAAAACTAAAATTCTTAAAGATGCATACAAAGTCAATTTTTTGTCACAAAAACCAACCAAATGCGAGCATATAGTTTCAAGTAGTATAACTAAGAGAATTACCAAAAGGCATTGTTTAATTTTACCCGAAAATGATGTTTGGACGTTTTTTTTTTCTGCTGGCATTCTAAGCTGTATGTCAATGGGGCAGGAAAGTAGGTCACGAAAGTAGGTTAAATTTACAGCCAAAAATTTAAAGAAAGGAGCAGTCTAAAGGTCTATTCAGTTTATCCCTTGGCATGTCGAATTTTATTTGAGTCATATAAGAATCTAGTAGAAGTGGTTTACATGTGTTACTGGGAATCCACGCTCCACCGATGCTCGGTTCGTATGTACCTTTAATTACAACTGTAAGTGTAGCCCTACATACTGAATGGAAGATCTACTGATGTGTACAAAGGCCACATTTCATGGTCCCAAAAATATTAATGTTGTATAAAAATGTGTAGTGCTATTAAGAAAATGTTGGAATGAAAAAGTAAACACACTTTGGGGACGAGGTTTATAATAATTTTCTTTCATTTGTGACATCTGCACATCTTTCTTTATGTGACAATGCATTAACAAACTCTGTTTATGTACATCTGTACTGTTAAAGGACATATGTACAGTCAACTTGTTTGTTCAAAAACTAGAGTGCAATATCAAGTTAATGTCTGACCATCAGTTTTCTAGGGATTTCATTTCTGTGACATAGCGACAAAAATAATTCAAATGACTGTAAGGGTAACACCATAGTAGGTAATGTTATGGTAATTTGATAGGTTTATTACATAGAAGAGAACTGGGTTCTGTTGTGATGAATGTTACTGTGCGAGTTGCAGACCCACTTGGTGTGAAAATTAATCTTTTGGATATGTTGCCAGATATACTCTTAGCAACTTGACTTTTTTCTTGTCATAGGTTTCTCTCACTGTACATTCTTCATCAATTTCTTTTTTACTAAAGTGGCACATCTTAAAATGAAAATCTGAAACTGCACCTTTTCCAGACTGTCCATGTTCAAAAAAGAGATCCATTGCCACCTGCTTAAGGTCTTTCATCTTCATATCACAAGGGATTGTTAAATGCCGAGTCCCGCCTCCATTTTGCGATTTAACCTGTGTGAACCCTTTGCCCCATTCTTTGTGAAGCCACCCTAGTTCTATCCTTCGAATATTCTTTTTTGCATTTTGGTTTCCATGTAATGACTCATATCTACTTGACTTTTTCTCCTTCAAAAACTTTTGTCTAAACTCTTCTTGTAACCTCTCCAGTATTCCCTCTTCCTTGCTTTGTGATGACTGGGTGCTAGTTTCTTCACCTTCTTCACACTGCTCCCCGACTAATGTACTTTGGGCTATTCTGTCCCCAAATGTGGGGACATATTCCTCTATCTGCTCATCAGTCATGCTACGTATTAACTGTTCATCAATCTGGTGAAAGAAGTAATTATCTTTAACAAAAAATCAAATAAAAATCTATGAAGACATTCAACAAGTTATGGACCAATACCAAGGCAAGGTACCTAGTCACCAATAGACAGTTTTTGAAAATTTTATCAAACTCTGATCAAAACTTTTGGCAAAATGTTGATAACAGACAGACCTAACAGTGAAGAGCTATCAGACTAACAGCAGACCTAACAGAAAGCAAATATAGGCAAATGCCATTTTAGATTTGAAATATATGGGTCACTACCGAACCTCTCTGATCTGCTTTTTGGTGAGGGTTCCAAAATATCTGAAAATTTGTTTCTATGACAAATAGTTTTGGAGATGTGACCTCTGAATGCCTTTAAAGACATGCACTCAGAAGTTGCAAAGTAAATGATTCAAAACTTATTTTTCTATGTATATTAACAAAAGGAACCAAAAACACAACCTCCTTGGCAGAATTTCATACTGTCACACCTAAAACACTATTACTTTTTTACATTTTAAACACTTGAACAATTTTTCTATCTGAAGAAAAGAAAACACTTACCTGTACCTCTTGATAGTCAAACTTGTAATTTCAAAATGCATTGGCTTTGATCACCAACCACTAGGTTCTCCATGATTAATGTACATAAGCAGTACTCTTTACTTTAGAACCAAATTTCTATTACGTATATACAGTTTTGAATCATGGCACTTTCTAAGAAATGAGTTGGCTGTAAAATTGTATAAATCTACACTGAAGCTTGAAGGGATGATAGAGTGTTAGTGGAAAATTTAATCTCACAAATCTTCTTCACATGTTTTATCAGAAATATAGGACTCCAACAATATTGTGGACACTCAATCCAAATGCCAGACTGACACGGTAAATTCAGGACACTTGGCACATATAAATAAGGCAAGGCAACAAAACTTCAGGTTGATCCACATGTTTTCATTGAAGATGTATATTTTGCTTTATCTTTACATAAAATGAATACAACATTTTATTATCCAGTAATCCAATACCATTGACTATATATGACACTGAATTTTGACAGCAGCCATAAAAAGACACAACATCATTCCCAAGTATGTCACTGCATTTACATGAACTACAGACACTATAGCATGTAACTGCCATACAGGAGGCAGCAGACAATACATACGTATAAACAGCCACATAGGTGGCAGCACACTATACATATACTGTGGGTGGTTGGGTAGGAGGGGGTAAGTAGCAAAAACTGTCCCAAGATTGTGCTGTGCTTCCTATAATGCATATTACAAAATAGTTCCTTTAATTGTAACATCACTCATTCTCAAAAAGTGGGCATTTCTGAATGGCAAAAATTCACCTTGTCCTCAGATATACATAAATATATATATGTATTATGACCAATAAATTTATGAAGTTCATATGTAGCACCAAATTGTTAATAGTTATTAGCATTACCAGTCTGCTTCTTCAAAAGAATTAGATTCTGTTTTTATCTGAACATTGTCAGTTTTGTTTTCTAACATCTTTCTGCGGTTCAGTTTCATTCTTTGGTACTGCTGCTTAGCAGCGAACAATTGATCTTTTTCAGATTTTTCTGGTGTCCTGTTACTTCTTTCCAGTCTCTTCCTCAACCTGTCATACTTCTTGAAATACTCCCACAGTTCACAGTCTCCTTTAATTTTATTTCTAAATCTTTAGTAAAAAGAAAAGGAATATATATATAGAGGAAGGTAATTTTCACTTAAAAGTTTGAGTGCCACAAAGAAAAAGAAGTCACTATGTAATGTTATGTAATGTAACAATGTAACAAGCAGATTCCAATTATGAAAAATCTGACAAAGAAATACTTCTAATCGAAGGAAAAATCCTGAATTTTTTAGCTTATGTTTCACATACATTAACTAGTAAGCAATATTTGTTGTAAAGAGGCCTCTAGATATATATGTGGAAACAGTTTCTCAATTATTTTCCAATACAGCTGAATGATTCTCAGTGTTTCCCAAGCCCTATGGTAATACCATACCTCTTAACCCTCTCTGCATTTGTTAGTAGTTCCTTACCAACTCGTTTCCTACCAGGCACCTACGGAAGAGACACATAAATGTGCTGTAACTAGTCTACACAATATTATTAATCTTCTTATCATGGTAGATCACTTGACTTGATGCATTTATAACAACTGCATCTTTTGCAAAACATAATTGAAAAAAAAAATCCACTTATGCTGTGGACTTATTATCATTTTCTGAATTTTTTGTTGCGTCATCAAAAATATTTTTCAGGGAGAAATGTTCATGAATCTGTTTTAAATTATTTAAAAACATTACTAAGCCACGACTGTTCATCATTTGAAAAACAGCAATTTACTCATTTCTGACTTCAGATATCAAAATATTCTCCACTCTATGGCTGCTTTCTTAAGACAAAGGAAGTCAAATAAATGCCTCTGCTACCTGCAATAGAATTATTAATACTGGATGTGAAACAGAAAGACTGTGTCACTATATATTATGACAACACTAAACCTATCAACTGTGTTAATAAATGTCAGCTTAGTTTTTTTTTTAACACCTTTGTCTCAAAGAGGCTTGCAAGAAATAGACCCTCTGCATTTCACCTCATGATAAAATGAGAGCTGGATTCCATACACCTTCAAACTGTTCAGCTACACCTCCTATCTAGCTTGTATCCATGTACTAGTCATGGGTGTAACTAGGCATACGCACGGATGCACTGTGCGTACAATTTTTCGGCCAACCATGATATTATTTTATATAAATTTAGTGTATTTTTCACGGAATATATATCGAAAATCCTCTGCGAAATTAAAGTCACCTGTATGTACAAATCATCTGTATACGCACAATTGTTCTGACCCCCCGTCTTGCATACTTTTATTCAACTGAGGTAAACAATGCCTGTTACCTTTACAAGTCCTATCTTAATCGTCCATCTAACTGGAACATCCTTTACCTCTTAATTGGAGGGTTAAGTGGCCTTCAACTCTCCTGTTGTCATGAGAGTAACGAAAGCACTATTGCTGACGATATTTATCTCAGGTAAAATCTACCTGTGTGTTATTTTCAAAGAGCAGCTCCCGTAGACCTGGGGGCACTAGATAAAATCTGGACACCAGGTTTAATAAGGAGCTACAGAAACAAAGGAAGAATTTTTCCTGCAAAGCTTCAAAGAATTTCACACGGACTTGATCCAGCTTAGCCCTCCAAACTAACAGGATGGCATGGGCAATTTTCACAAACAAATAATTAAACTTAGGATGTATCAGAGCTCTATTGTGTCATATAATTGGTTGTTTTTGGGAGCCATGCACCCGCATGAAAGCTGGATGAAACCGCATATAAGTTCAACTCAGAGGAGGATCCAGGATTATTCGAAGAGGGGAGGGGGGTCCGCTGATGCGAAGTTAGCCTCCTTTTAAATGAATATACCGTTCTGGGTAAATAAAAATATTGAAACTTTATTAAATCGCGAGTACATTTTTGACTTAAATGATGATTTTATCATAAATGGAAATTAAGCTACGATGTGTGGTACATATGCTGTGATTACGCTGTCCTTCATCTGTTGCGTTAGTCTACATTTTGCTGTACATGCTGGGTATTTAAAAAATCTGTGCGTACAATTTTTAAAGGTCTGGTTACGCCCCTGCATGTGCTCATATTAAAAAAAAAACTTAAAATCTAATTCTAAAGTTATGAAAAATCGGTTGGGGTTTTTTGTCAGTTAGAAGGCACATTTTGAGGGAAAAATGGTGAACCTCGAAAGAGTGAGATAATGTAATAATTGAGGGGTTTGGAAATTTTACACAATTACTGTAAGCTCATAGCAACAGATTAGTTTATTTTGGTTTCCCAAAATCTTGACTGCACCGAAATAACAGACACATGACCTTAACTTTTGTACCCCTAAACACCTGTCTTTCACCTGTAAGATAAGTGACCCGATTATGTCTGGATTTTCCAGACTACACATGACTTCGGCTGTCTCATTGTCTCGTTTTTACTTTCCTGTCTGGGAAAAGTGAATTTGCATTGAAAGCCTTGTTTAGAATTTAAACAGTTTTAAAGTCGTGATGTTTTCGAGTTTTCAAGTAAATTTAGACATTTAAATGTTTACTGTATGTTTTTTTGTTACAAGGAGGTATTATCTGTCTACACATCCTGCATATATATCTGCTTATCTTTCCCAAAATAGACCTTAAGAATAGTAAAACACCTGAAATAAATGTAAATAATATTGAGAAATTGAGATATTGAGAATCATGAATGAATATTTTTATTACAAATGCGTGCACAGAGACATTTAATCCAAGTCCAGAGACAGGTCAAGTCATGAGCAAAAAAAAAAAAAAAAAAAAAAAAAAATTAAAAATAAAATAAATAAACATATAAAAATAAATAATTAAAAAAATAAAAATAATAAATAAATAAATAAAAATGGCTATTTTCTTGAAGATCCCATTTGGTGAAAAAACTTGGGATAGGATGTCATTGATTAACCATGTATCTAAACTTTAAGCCAGGTCCTAATGCTCAGTCAATCTTGCTACAAAGAATAAATTAATTGGTCGAAATGATACCAGGTGAATTTCCTGCAACTTGATTCTTTATGCAGCTCTTGTGAATTCCTTACTTTGGCCAAATAAGTCCACTTTTTTGTATTTTGGCTGAATAAGTTTCTCTACTTCCAGAGTCAAGTGACCTGTACATGTAGTAATGTATTCCCTGCTTGTTCTGTCTTTTCTTGATTTAGTCTGGGTTTTATTTTTGTCTCGTTCACATGGATGTCACGTCTGCAGTCAGAGAATCGTTCATGGTTGAGAAATCCCCTCCCATCCCTCCCCCTTTACGACCACCCATGTGAAGTTCACTACTTGCATTTTCTTGATTTTTTTAAAAGGTCCATTTTAGTCTCTGATTGAATAAGGATAATTTTAGAAAGGTGCTGGCAGGGTCATTTACTTCAGACCTATAGCCAGTTGCACAAAATAGCTGTAGCCTGAAAACTGGCCCCGGTTTCACAAAAAAACTCAAGTCTGGTTCCTTAGCTAAGAACTTAATTACCAAGGTTACGTGCTCACATGGGTACATCTTACCCTACCAGGAGCAGTGTAACAGCACTCTGGAAATCCTAGTCAACTAAGCCAGGGAATTCAGAACTGGTCTCAACTTTTAGACCAAACCTTTTTGTCCTCTAGACATAAAATATATCAGTTGAAGTCTAGTTGAATGAAACAGTTTTATAATAGGGGGAACATGGCTATATGGCTCAGCACAATACCTTATTTAAATATTTAAGAATTATGAAAGATAAATATCTTTGCAGGATATTTATACATAAAAATGACATGGGGGCATTTTTCGAATGCATATAGTATACCTTAACTTAAATGAAATGTTTATCACAAGCAAAAGAATTTTTGGAATTGATGTATAAAATGATTTATTTATTTATTTATTTATTTTATTTATTCAGCTGACAGTTCAAGAAGGCCGTCTTACACAGAATCAATGGAAAATCCCATTATTATGCCCGAAAAACCAACTGAGAACGGGTCAGGTAAGAGTTCAAAAATTGACTATAATAATAGAAATTCAGTCTGGCACAGATAACTACTGGAACAAACAAGATATATATATATTATTTCAGATTTTTGAGAATGCTTATTTCAGATTATAAAGAATGATGCTCTTATTTTTCTAGTGGCTTTTAAAAAAATATCTGGCTTTCAAATTACTGCAAATTTCAAACAAATATGAATAAATTGGGATATGACACTTTTGAATTTTGAAGTGTCATACCTGAATCACAGAGTTTGCAACCTCCCACAATACTTGTTCAATTCTTCCATAATCCCTTTTCATAAACATATTTTGAAGTACAGTGGACCTAAAGACAGTTTTCTACTCAGTTCCATATGCTCAGAAGAATTTTGTTTGCAAAATTTGTATTTGTGGTGCTGGGTATGCTATTTAACATTATGTAATATTGCACTAAAGTTGAAAAAAAAAAAAAAAAAAAAAAAAAAAAAAAAAAAAAAAAGAGAGAGAAAACCGTTTGTGCAGTATCTGAGTTTTTTGCTATTTTATGTTTGTACATTTGTTAGTTTTGCTGCATTGTTTTTTTCCAATTGAGTTACATCTACTTTAAAATTGGTAAAAGACAATTATTAATATACTTATTTAAGTAAAAACCAATACTTAGTATATTTATTTTAGTAAAGAGCAAATGTAGTTACTGTTCTGTCTTCCTCTTCCTATTTCTCTTTGATTCTTATTTCTTTCTTTCTATCTCATTAATTTAACGATTGAACTATTCCAGTGAAGAGTGGCGCCCAGTTACTGACACACCTGGTGAAAGAGGACGAGGAGAAGGAAAAAGATAAACTTGTCCCCACAGTGAAGCGCGTTCAGGTATGGCATAATAAACATACTCACATTTTTATCCAGGTATTTATTCAGAGGATTAGTTATCATTTCAAAACCCAGACTTATGAGTTTTAGGAGTCTTATCTATCTATCTATCTGTCTGTCTGTCATGGCTTCTCGGTATTCTGCCATCCAATATAAGATGCCTGTAATATTTTGCCTTATTGATTTTCAGTGAAATGCTTATAAATCAATAACAAAAGTTATTATAAACAGGAATTGTCTGCCGAGTAAATTATCCCATTGTCTCTTGTCTGTTTTCAGTGATGAATTTACAACATGGTTTCTTTCATCACACTTGGAATGTAGGGGTAGTTTATCTAAGAAATGTGAGGACATCTTTTTATTTTTTTATTTTTTTCGTCTTCAGGACGTTACCCCCTCACCATCAATGAAGTCCTTCAAGACATTACTGACCCAGGAGTTTGGACCAGGGAAGACCACACCACCCAAAGGTATGTATGTGTAAATAGGTCACATTGGCATTGATACTGATACAGTGTAATATTGTTGGTCATTTGCTGCACCTCGCTAGCTGTAAAAAATGTTTTATTTTCTGTTATCATGTTACTCATATTAAGATTTGGGAAAAATGGTTAAAAATGAATTGAACTAAGAAAGGAGTTATTGAATATCATTTTTTGCTGTTTTTCTTAAAAAGCCCAAAGTAGTTGGTGGGAGATGACAAACATAGTAAAAAAAGGACAAAAGTGATGTAATAAGTATCTGTTTGTCAAGATTTTAACTTTTGGTTTCTTTTAGTCACAAATGGAACTGTAAAGCTAGATATCTCTGACAGCAGTAACATGGAATATTCTCCTGCTAGCAGTCAGGACTTGGAGGTAAGAGTTTAAGTAAAAAAAAAAAGATACTTTGAAAAATTTTGTCACTTCAAAATTGATTAATATTTTAAAGTGCGTGAGCCTGACATGGTCTGACAAATTTTTCAAAACTATCAAGAGGTTCATTTTCAAGTTTGACAAAATTTTCATAGTGAAAAGAATTGCCTTGGCATAGAATTGTCTTCTGACAAAATTATCAAAAAAATACTAAATTTTTAAGAGTTCACCATAATGGAAATTTCTGCATAGTGATGGTTTTAAAATCATAACATCATAAGGAGTTACATTTTGCAGAAATTTCCCCAAAACTTGAGTCTTATAAAAGAAATAAAATAACACGTTATTGTACATATTCTCCTTGGACATAATTCTATATTTTAATTCAAATTCAGATCTGTATATTCAAATCCGGTGGTAGCAATTTTAGGATATTTTTTAAAGGCCCGCTTTTATCTCTGATGCTATGATTTTTGTCTTTTTGCTTCAGGCCCAGAAGAAGGAACGAGAGTCTATAAAGGACAGTCCAGAATCTGTAAAACTCTTTTCATGGCTGCAAATTTTGACCGCTATTTTTGGATCTTTTGCTCACGGTGGTAATGATGTCAGGTATGATTTATTAATGGTAATTACTCCATGAAGTTGGGCATCATTTGTAGACCTCCCCCCCCCAAAAAAAAAAAAATAAACTAAAATAAACTTTTGAAGCTAGTGAATTTAAGAAATATAGTCGGTTGACATGGACATGTAGTGAAAAGGATTTGTCTCTTGTATTACAATGGAAAAAATAAATGAGGCCTTCTGATGATAGGTCGAAACATCACATCCCAGTTTGAGTGCTCGCGTAGTTGGATGGATCTACACAGACTGATCTTGTCTATAGGAATGGGGCCTATTGGGGTGCTTTTACCGTATAGAACAGAACTATGGGGTAGCCTGCTTTTCAGTTTTGTTGCTACCACTCCATATAAATTGTAGTAACTTTAAGACTACTTTGACTAGTGGTGTCTATGGCAATGGGGGTCATAAAAACATTCTTTGTTTTGTGACAATAAATTTTTTTGTGATAATAAAGTTTCTGAAAGTTTAGAGTAATCATGTTTGCCCACTAAAAGATCTAGTCATAACCACACTTTTTTTACCACCCCTTAATTATAACAGATACTTGTTCATTCACAAACTGGCCATCCAATTACCAATTAGAAAATGGTATTGCACCAATTGTATTGCATTTATTATATTATATTATATTGTACAAGGTCATGATTATTTATGTACTAGTACAGAAATACATTGAATTAAATTGAATTTATTACAGCAATGCAATAGGTCCCCTGGTTGCTCTGTGGATCATTGGTCTGGAAGGGAGTGCCCAGCAGAAGTCTGCCACGCCCATCTGGATCCTCCTTTATGGTGGAGTAGGCATTTCTATTGGCCTGTTTGTCTGGGGGAGGCGTGTCATTAAGACTATGGGGGAGGACCTTACCAAGATCACGCCCTCAAGGTAATGATTGATGGGTGCCAAGACCATGAGTGTGTCAGAGCGGGGATGTGTGTGTCAGCATGCGTGCGTGTGTGTGTGTGTGTCATAGATAGAAAGAGGTGGGATAATGCCCTTTAATTAAAAAATTTAGAAAGTTTTTAAATAAACTAACTAATAAGTGAATTAAGATAATTTCAGCAAAAGCTTGTGCGTAGATTAATGATTTCATGTCAGAAATTGTGCATTGGTGCAGTACAGTGTATTTCAATTTGTGGTGGTAAAAAAACTTAAGTCCAGACCTTGTAGAAACTTTGCCAGAAATGGCATCTGTTTGCAAAATGTTAAAAGATTAAATGCAGTGCCTACCTGAATACATGTGCAGATCTGCTAAGCTTGTCTGTGCTGCTTGCAAATATTACTAAATAATAAATAATAAAGACATTACGTATAAAAAAAATAAAATTGGTAATTTAAATTTTCCATTGACTGGGAGTTAGCACCTTGTACACATAATGTGATGGGTAAGATTGCCTCCTTTTTTATTTCAGTGGTTTTTGTATTGAGATTGGCTCAGCCCTCACTGTCCTCGTTGCATCCAATATCGGCATTCCTGTCAGCACCACCCATTGTAAAGTGGGATCCATCGTAAGTGTCGGGAGGTTCCGATCAAGAGCGAACGTGGACTGGAAACTTTTCCGTAACATTTTTCTGGCATGGATTGTGACACTGCCAGTTAGCGGTGGCATCAGTGCTGCCCTCTTTGCTGGGTTGAGATTGCTAGTTCCGCACTGAGAGGTCTTAGGGCATGTGATTGGAGAAAATTGCTCGAAGAAACAAGGGAAGGTCAAAATTATAACAAGAAAGAATGAAGGTTGAATTTGATGCATAGTTTTTCTGAAGTAGGCGGAAAAAGATGAAACTAAGTCAATTGATTGGTCCAAGACATCACGGATGTGTTATAAGGGAAAGTTATTTCAAAATTCAGTAAAATCATCGCACATGTTTCAATAGGAGTTGAATGAATAGGAAATAATGTTTGGAGTACATTGATAGTAGGGTTGCTGACTGTTAAATTTATGATAATTGTTTTGCAATGTGATCCAAGATCGCAAATATTAAGAATTCTTTTGGTCCAGGAATGATTTCCAAGATTGCAACAGGCAAAATCGTTCCAAATTATAACTGTGAATAGTGAATTGCTCAGTTTGGGTTTTGATTGAATTTATTTTTAGAATGCACTTCATTGTTTAACAATATTTAAAAAAATAATGATAAAAAATAAAAAACCTTTATAGTAAATAATGGTAATGAAGGGATTAGATTTTTAAGAAAATTTCAACAGATAAAATCGAGTGGGTCTGTATACAGACAACCATTGTTGCAGAATACCAAGTTTGATTTTGCCAATTGGAAAGTGAATTTTAAGTCGATAAGACTAACTACAAAAACATGTATATTTGTGCAGATATATACATAAATGTGCCCTACTGTTACATGTACATGTATAAGAGCTGTGTTACAGAGCATGAATGTCTTCCCAGTGCAAATTTTATTTATTAGTCAAAATGATAACCTAAAAAAAAAAAATAAAAAATAATAAGGAAAAGAAAAATAAATCTTAAACTCCTTGTGCTAATGTTAGCTTTGCCACACAATTTTTTAACTTCATTACAATTTTTTTTCTGGTAGTTTTTCATATCTGAACCCAGTTTAAATGTTTCAGTTTTGTTTTCACCCGTTTGTTTTCATTTGATTTGTTTTGAATTGTGTATTCAGTTTAGCAGCCAAACAGCAAAATGTCCCCATGTTTATTTGTAGTTAGAAAAATGACCAGGATTAGGTCAAGGACAGGCCATGTAGGTCAAGGTTAAGCCAGTGAATGCACAAATAGGTCAAGTTAAGGTCAGTGTGCATAAATAGGTCAAGGTCAATATTATGTAAGTATATGGGGTACAAGTACATGCAGTTCAGGGTAGATTATTATTCCTTTATTGGTTCTTTGTATGGAACAACTGCCAAAGATTACAAACGAAAAACAATTGAAGTATGTACAAAGCACTCTGTATTCTACAAGTATTGCTATACTGCCAGTATCCTTCACCTTATATTTTTTGTTAGTATTTAAGTTTTATGTAGACACTTTCCGGCTTGAGTGTGACCACTGTTATTTGATGAATGATTGTATTTTATATGCACTAGTTATGTTATAATTTATGATTGTTTTACTGCCACTTAGTTTTAATTCTCATGAATGTTAGACATACGAGTACAATGTGCAGGCATTGTGGGTAGTTCACAGTGCGACATATACATTTTGTCTGGTGTGATAGCATTGGCATCAGAAATACCAATGTTATTGTTTACCAATACCATAATGCATTTCACATTGTTAATTTTTTCTAATGCTACATGTACTGTATTTGTCCATCAAAAGGCTGTACTTTTGGCGTTGAAATACTGTATAAATGCTGCATCGAATAAATAAGAATAAACAAAATGATAAATTATCACCCTTGGATAATTATTGTTAACTAAATTATGACAAAGCTATCAATAGTGAGTACATTTAAATCAAAGGGGCAAGGTCAATTTATATTTACTGACACATGTTTACTGTATCAGTACTTATACTTCTAGCTACATGTACATGCAAATGCTGTTATTAACACTTAAAAACATTTATAAACATATGTAAGCAACTACCATGTTCAGCATTTGATTTACCTAAAATATACTTAGAACATACCATATTTGATATATAATTTAAATACAGCAACATTTTAAATGAACTTGGATGAACATTGCAAACCTGCCAATGTACGAATGTACCCATATAGTAAGAGAAAATATTAACTTGTATACAGCAAAGACCTACTGGTAAATGATCAGATAGCTTTTTAATATTTTTTTATTCTTAAGCGGTAAAGTCTAATGACAAATTTTCATATTAACAGATCATGCTGACTCGGATACTGCACCAAATAACCATCGTTAGTGTGCAACATTGGCCCATATCCTGGATAACCGTCATCAGAGAGTTACATTGACCTAGATATTTATCATAAAATTTAATGGGTCACACCAAGGAGTTATAACAGAAGGAGATTACACGCAAGCCTTTCTATTGTCCGATGTCTGTTACGGTGGGCGGAGCTAGCTACGGGGGGCCTCCGGTCTCAAGGTTTCGTCTGCGTCGCTCTCCTCAGCTTGGAGATAAATTTCATATGCGTTATTTCGCGTTAGAATTCGAGATCAGTAATGTCAAAGCGCCGCTGTATGCTGACGATTTTTTTCACAGGTAATTATTTGGACGATGTGCTGGAAGGGAACGATATCATAGAAAGCGATTATAAGGTGGTGACTGAGGATGGTCGCCATGAGCTTTTTTTAGTCGGTGATAGATGGCTTTTTTATGGCACAACCCGGTGAAAAATCACCAAGGAGAAGTCAAAAGAAAACGTCCCAACTGTGGTTTGTGAAAATGACATTCAAGTGAACGTCTGTCCTCACTGCCAAAGGACATAATATTAATACATTAACGTTTGGACCCTCCTGCCCTTGGGTCCCATAAACATATACATTGTGACAGTGCCTACGCTTT